CTATATTTATTGCAGCAAGATGTTGGAAGGTGCATCTCCAGTAACCCAAGCTCTTCTGGGGACCTTACTGACATGGGGCCTCACTGCTGCTGGGTCTGCTGTGGTGTTCCTGCTTGCTGGAACTAAGGTCTAACTGATATTTAGAATAGAAGTTCTGCTTTGAAATATACAAAATGACATAGAAAAATATTAATGATAAAATAAAGATGATGAAATTTGAAATAAAGTTTTGAAATTTTATCAAATGTATTTTTCCTCAACAGCGAAAAGTACTTGACAGCAGTTTAGGTTTTGCTGCAGGAGTCATGACAGCTGCATCATTTTGGTCACTTCTGGCACCTGCCATAGAGCTTGCAGAATCCTCAGGAAGCTATGGTAGTGAAGGGGAATGGGCTTTTGTACCTGTGGCAGTTGGATTTGTTCTTGGTGCTGCCTTTGTTTATGCTGCAGATGTGTTCATGAGTTCAACAGGCAGTCATTCACCTAACTTTGCCCTTGGTATGTGTTTGATTAAGATTCTTTGGTTTTAGGAAAGTGCACTTTGTGTTGGTTAGCCATTATTAGCACAGTTGAAAATAATTATATGAATACTAATAGAGTTACTGAGATTCTGATTAGGTAACTAAAAAAGTTCATCATTGTTGTCTTGTGCACATTATCTGGAATTTAGGGTCTTAACTCAGTAATTCCATCTTAATTGTGTAGCATGTCATGTGCTATACCATGCTACCCTCCATGTACCTAGAATGCAAGTCAGGCAGTGTTATCCAAGGACCACTTTGTGTAAACTATTTATTTTTTCATATATGTAAAAGAATATACCAACAAAAGTAAAGAGGAGGGATTGTAAATTCTTGTGCCTGCAAGTGTGTATGTGTGTGTGTGTGTGTGTGTGTGTGTGTGTGTGTGTGTGTGTGTGTGTGTGTGTGTGTGTGTGTGTGTGTGTGTGTGTATGTACATTCATATCATCATCCTTTGGCTCATACAATAAATCACAGAGATCGTCAGCATGTCTACATTCTCCTAAATCATCCTAATATGAATCTTCCTTTGATTACAAAGCATTGTCACTTGCCCTTTAAAATGATGTTTACTCCAACAAAGTTTAGGCTGCTTTTCTCTGATTCATTGCAAGGTCAAGTGATCAGATAACTTAGTGTTGTCCAAACATTTTCAACAATTATACCCTTTATTACCTACTTGTACTGTTACGTCCCCCCCTGTTACATGAATAAAAAAGATGATTCATAGAACATGTGATGTTTCTGTGTGTGTGTGTGTGTGTGTGTGTGTGTGTGTGTTGTGTGTGTGTGTGTGTGTGTGTGTGTGTGTGTGTGGTGTGTGCGTGTGTGGTGTGTGCGTGTGTGTGTGTGTGTGTGTGTGTGTGTGTGTGTGTGTGTGTGCTTGTGTGTGTGCTTGTGTGTGTGTGTGTGTGTGTGTGTTCCTTGTTTATTCACATACCCTTATGATCTATGTTGCGTACCCCTGGGGGTACGCAGACCCCAGTTTGGACAACACTGAGATAACTGATTCCCACATACAGTAACTTAATCTATTCTGAGAGACCACATGGCTGCAATGATAGATCCTAATCATGGCTATAAAGCAAATATAAATAAATGAGATGTTTGGAAGTATGTGTGTACTTCCAATTATCTCTGCATGTCAGTGACTTTAATGTTGGAAGTACCTGCCTGCTTCCACATTTCCTAAGGTAAAAGAGTGGTTAAGGACATTTGGTACCTAGTCACACTTTAATAAACCGAATTAAAATGTTACATGGCATGTACCCATGAAACATTCAATTGAGCCTTCTCTGAGTTATAAGTGAAAAATAGTTGTTTGCGTTTGACTGTGACGGTGGTTATTGAAGAATTACAGTCCCTCAAAAAATGTTCATATTTGGTTATGATTTTTGCACAATAATCTTAGGTATGTGAAATAAATAGCTTATGACCTGGTAGTGCTACTAATACTAGTTTATGGTACTATGAATTACACAGGAAAATAATCACAAGTTCTCTTTCAGTTCAGTTTAGTGACTTTTTTAAGTCATTATTTAAGACTGAAATAATCCATAGGACAGAAGTATTACTGTGGATCAGTAAATACACAACATATATGCTTTGTTACATTATGAGATGATTGATCTTTATCCACAGCAATGCAGTCATCTGCGAAGAAGACAGATGGAGATGATGCAAGAATACCATATGTATCAGCAAATAACTTCAGTAATGCAAGTATGTTTTGAGAATAAAAATATGAAAATGTATACATGTATTTGCATGGTTTTATTTATTAAATCTATTATTGTCCAAATGCTTAGTTCTTTTTCATTTTATTTTATTTGTTTTTTTAAGTACATTAGTTTAAAACAGTTCATTACTCTAAGTTTCTTTTGGCTATGTTTGTTTTAGTGATTACTGATTGATAAATCCTACCATTGTATCATAGGTGTGTGTGCTTGCATGTCTACTTGCACGAGTGTTTACAAATA